TTTTTTTTTTTTTTTTTTTTTTTTTGTAGACATTTTAAAGCTGCCACTGTTTTTGTAACCTATCATCTACCTCACAGTTTCCTGCAGAATGACAAGAGCGGCTGATAATTGCCACAAAAATAATCATTGAACAAGTTGAAAATGAGTCATATTAGTCAGCGGGAATCTTTGCCATGAAAGGCAAGTGCTTTTTTTAACAATAAGTTGGATTTAGTTTATAAATGTGACCCTTTTGGATTTAAAAAATTTGTTTCTAGCACAATTTTACTGTGATTATTGGAGGAAAAAACAACAACAACTGGTAAATAAGTACTGTATGTTATATCAGTATTAACCCAAAGCTTCAATGGGTTTTTAAAGTTTTTAAGCAAACCGAAATACTCACATTATCAAATGTCTGAATGCAAATGTGGAAATTAGATGTTTAATAGCCTTTCACTTCCTGAATAGGGATCAAATTAACTCTATTAGTTAAGAATTTGGCCTAAATATTCAGAATGTTTGCATAAACGACCTTGAATTCAACAAAACTTGCTGTTAAAAAATGTGACATTTCTTATGGGCTAATCTGGCTGACACTTGCACAATGTGAGTAGAATTTAAGAGAGTAAATGATAAAAATCTAATATTTTTAAATTTGTGGGTGTAATAATAATTTGCCAGTACAGCCAGTTAAGTGTGGCAACTTGCATGGAAACCATTTTTGATTTATTTTTAAGTCTCTTGTGTTTTAAACTCAGTTTAAACAGGGATTCTGAGCACTTTGGGGAACATATCACCATGTTTATGTGATTGCTAAGAGAAGAGCTTCAAGTGCTCACTAAAAGCTTCTTTAACAGTCTTCTGAAATTCAGTCTGTCCCACAGCATTAAAAAATACACATAATTATAAGTGAAAGTAGCTGCATTGAATAAGCTTTTCTGTCCTGTGTTTAACTGAAATCACTTTGGCTAATTATAACTGAATATTCAGTTACTAAATTGTAGCAGGTACTTTACATGGGAGACCTCAAAGAAGTTCATTCTCACCAGATTGAATTCATAACAAACAAATGGCACGAAAATACCACAGACGTGTTTGTTTGGCCCAAGCTGCTATCAGTTATGACTGGCGTTCACTCTGCTCCCTCTCTCTGCACTCTCGAGTCAGTTACACACTCTGATCAATACCGGATCAATAAGTCCTGCTACAGTTTTACAAATATCCCTTAAGGTTCTCTTCCTTGTTACTTTGGGGAAAACTTCCAAATCAAATCCTACTTTTTATTTTTTATGGTTTTGTTTTTTGTTAGTTTTACAGCTGAAGACTCGCTGCATGTATGCATGGTATCACTATTCTGTTTAATATTTTATGGTCACATTTTGAAGCTCCTGCAGCTGTGAGGGAGAGGAACAAGTTTATAGGCATAAACAATGCTTCAGAAATGGTGATCTTGTTGAGTCCTTGCTAAAAAAAAAGAAACCAAACCATACTTGGAAATGTGTATATTATGCTTTGCTGATGTCTTTTTAATTTAGCTTAGAAAATAATAAAACAAACTACAAAGACTGATTGAGTTGCATTAATGTGCTTAATTTACCTCCATATATTATCATCAATAATTAGAGTTGACTAGGAATTGCAGTGTTTACCTTTTTTTAATGAGTTATTTCCTTACTAAGCTTTTTATTTGTTCCAGTTTGAACTAGACACATGGTTACAACGTGCTCCGCTTCTACTTCCTCGGTAAAATGTATTCTGTACAGAACCATTCAATTTCTGCCAATAACAGTTTCCTCTGATCCACTTCATGATAATCTTCTTAGGGTTTGAAGGAAAATTGAAATTCTGATTCTGTGCAAATTTGTTTGTTTAAAATAAATCTCTCAGCTGTCAGTTGACTCAGAAAATGCCAATAATGCACTTTCCTATCCTCAGCCGAGGACAAAGTAACCGAGTGCGTTTTCTGTGTTCTGCTTTGTCTGCAAATGGTTTTGCATTTTTATTTTTTACATCCAAGCACATTTGTATTATATTTGTAGTCTCTGCAAAATATACATGTCTTTTTGTCTACAAGTTTTATGAAAAAACTGTTACATATAAAACGGCTTTTTCATCTACCCAATTAAAGCCAACTTATTCAATTTGATTACCTGTCATTTACTGATATGTTGCTTAAGTAACTGTATCAAGCAGATACAGTGGGTAAAATAAGTATTGAACACGCCACCATTTTTCTCAGTAAATATATTACTAGAGGTGCTAATGACATGAAATTTTCACCAGATGTCGGTAACAACCCAAGTGATCCATACATACAAAGAAATCAAACCATAAATGTCCAGAAATGAAGTTATTTGTAAAAATTTGGAATGGCACAGGGAAAAAGTATTGAACACATGAAGAAAGGGAGGTGTAAAAAGGCATGGAAAGCCAAGACACCAGCTGAACTCTCTCAGTAATTAGAAAGCAAGCCTGCCCCTTGTCAGTGCAAATTAATATCAGCTGGTTCAGTCCCAAATGATGGCCAGGTATCACACAAGAACCATCTGATGATGGGTAAAAAAGTAAAGAGCTCTCTCAAGACCTTCACAACCTTATTGTTGCAAAGCATAATGATGGCATCAGTTACAGAAGAATGTCTAAACTTCTGAAGGTTCCAGTGAGCACTGTTGGGGCCATAATTCAGAAGTGGAAAGAACATTATTTCACCATAAACTGACCACGCAAGACTCCACTGCTGAAGAAACAACATGTTGAAGCTCCTTTAAAGTTTGCTGCACAACATTTAAACAAGCCTGTGTAATACTAGGAGAATATAGTCTGGTCATATGAGACCAACATTGACCTGTTTGGATGCCAGAATACACATCATGTTTGGAGGTCAAATGGCACTGCACATCAGCCCAAAAACACCATACCAACAGTGAAGTTTGGAGGTGGGAACATCATGGTGTGGGGCTGTTTTTCAGCATATGGTRCTGGCAAACTTCAAATAATTGAAGGAAGGATGAGTGGAAAAATGTACAGAGACATTCTTGATAAAAATCTGCTTCCATCTACCAGGATGATGAAGATGAAACGTGGCTGGACATTTCAGCAAGACAATGAGCCCAAACACAAAGCCAAGGAAACTCTCAGTTGGTTTCAGAGAAAGAAACCAAAGCTGCTGGAATGGCCCAGCCAATCACCTGACCTGAATCCAACAGAAAATCTATGGAAAGAACTAAAGATCAGAGTTCATAGAAGAGGTCCACGAAACCTTCAAGATTTGAAGACTGTTTGTGGAAGAATGGGCCAAAATCACACCTGAGCAATGCATGCCACTAGTCTCTCCATACAGGAGGCGTCTTGAAGCTGTCATTGACAACAAAGGCTTTTGTACAAAGTATTAGATAAATTTCAGTAAGYGTGTTCAATACTTTTTCCCTGTGTCATTCCACATTATTACAAATAACTTCATTTCTGGACATTTATGGTTTGATTTCTTTGTATGTATGGATCACTTGGGTTGTTACCGACATCTAGTGAAAATTTCATGTCATTAGCACCTC